CACATGCTTTACAATGACCCTAAAGGTAGGGACTCTGTTCACTTCACGTGACTTATATAGCACCCAGCATCTTCTCAGATGGAATCAGGTACTCAGCAGGAAAACAAAAGTTACAGACTCTGGGCCAGGCACACTGGCTCACACCTGTAATTCCAGCACTTTAGGAGGCCTAGGCAAGCGGATTGCTTGAGCTCAGGAGTTCGAGACAAGCCTAGGCAAAATGGCAAAACCCTGTCTCTACAAAAAACACAAAAATTAGCCAGGAGTGATAACGTATGCGTGTGGTCCCAATTATTCAGGAGGCTGAACAGTGAAGGCTGGAGTGCAATGGTAGAAACATAGCTCTCTGCAACACTGAATTCCCAGGCTTAGAGTGATGCTCCCTTGTCAGCCTGCCAACAGATGTGTGCCACCAAGCCTGGCTAGTTTTTTAATTTTTTGTGGGGATAGGTCTCAATATATTGCCCATGCTAGTCTTGAACTCTGGGCCCCCACCTTGGCCTCCCAAAGTGGTGGTATTACAGGTGTGAGCCACTATGGCCAGCCCTATCTCCTTTCACAATTACATATTATTAGGTCGGGCACAGTGGCTCAAGTCTGTAATCCCAGCACTTTGGGAGGCCAAGGCAGGCAGATCACCTGAGCTCAGGAATTGGAGACCAGCCTGGACAACATGGTGGAACACTGTCCCTACTGAAAATACAAAAATTTAGCTGGGTGTGGTGGTGTGTGCCTGTAGTTCCAGCTACTCATGAGGCTGAGGGAGGAGAATTGCTTGAGCCTGGGAGGTGGAGGTTGCAGTGAGCCCAGATCACGTCACTGCACTCCAGCCTGGGTGAAAGCCACGCTGCATCTCAACAAAAAAAAAAAAAAAAAGGAAAAGAAAAAATATAATTAGTCAGGCATTGTGGCACACATCTGTAGTCCTAGCTACTCAGGAGGCTGAGGCAGAAAGATGGCTTGAGCCCAGGAGGTCGAGGCTGCAGTGAACTACGATCATGCCTCTATACTCTAGCCTGGATGACAGAGCAAAATCCTTCTCAAACAAATAAATGAATGAATACATAAATAAATATTACCCATCACTTTACTAATATATATCCAATTGGATCTACTTGCTGTTGCTGGGCATAAAAAGTATTCAGTAAAAGTGTGCTTGAATAAGGTAGGAGGTAGGAGTATATCTGCTATGCTGCAGGATAGCAAGGAGGCCATGTGGCTACAGCAGAATCAACAGGAAGGTGAGTCAACAGATGGCCAGAAGAAGCTGGGCCCTGCAGGCCAGTATATGGCCCTGAGGCCCTCATGACCACATATTAACAGTAGTGAGCCATGGGGCCATGGGAGACAAGAATATTAGTTGAATTATTCTTGTATATTTCTAGAGTTCTTTTTAAATTTATGAATATTTTTTAAACTACCCAAAAAAAGCATACAGAATTAATATAGAATGACTGCCATAAAATGGGTGAAAGGCACAGACTGATAAAGTCTAAAGAAGGTCCTCGTTTTGAAAATTATATTGTGGTAATATAGAAGAATGTCCTTGTCTTTAGAAAATATGTTTTTTTTTTTTTTTTTTTTTTTTTTGAGATGGAGCCTCACTCTGTCGCCCAGGCTGGAATGCAGTAGCACTATCTCAGCTCACTGCAACCTCCTCCTCCCGGATTCAAGAGATTCTCCTGCATCAGCCTCTCAAGTAGCTGGGACTACAAGCATGTACCATCACGTCTGGCTAATTTTTTAAATTTTTGTAGAGACGGGGTTTCACTATGCTGGCCAGGATGGTCTCGAACTCCTGACCTCAAGTGATCTGCCTGCCTCAGTCTCCCAAAGTGCTGGAATACAGGCATAAGCCACCGCATCTGATCCAGAAAAAGTACTTTGAAAAATAGAATAAAGCAAATACGGTAAATTGCTAACAAATGGGGAATTTGGCAAAGGTGTATTCTTTGTACCAATTTTTGACAACATTTCTAATAACTAATTATTTCAAAATAAAAACTTCTTTAAAATATATGCAGTAAAAATACCTTATAGCCACAAAATAGCTAAATGGAAGGAAAGCAATCCTGCTAATAGGCTATCTCCTATGAATGATCACTCACTTCCCTTCAGAAACAACAGAGGCCAAGAGTGCTTCAAGAAACCCATAATTCTACATTCAGTTAAAAGATCCTAAAGAAAGACAAGTTCAAGGCTGGGCACAGTGGTCATGCTTTGGGAGGATGAGGCTGGAGAATCTCTTGAGCCCAGTTAAGTTCAAGATCAACCTGGGCAACATAGTGAGAAATTGTATTATTATTACTTTTTTAGTAATAATAATAAAAAGAAAGAAAATTAGCTGAGCATGGTGGTACACATCTGTAGTCCCAGCTACTCAAGTGACTGAGGCAGAAGGATCACCTGAGCCCAAGAGATCCAGGCTGCTGTGAGCTGTGGTTGTGCCACTGCATGGCAGCCTGGGAAACACAGTGAGACTCTATCTTTAAAAAAAAAAAGTCAAGTTCAAACAAAGAAAAACCAGAAGAATTTGTCATCAGGAAACCTATAAGAAAATCTGAAGAAAATTTCATATGCTGAAGAGAAATATTCAGGAAGTAATGACAAACACTGGAAAAAAGCATGCGTAAATATGACTCTCGCTTTTGCCTTGTTGTCTTTAACATACATAATTGTGTAAAGGAAAATGTTTAATACTACATCATAAAATGTAGCTCACATGTGTAATCCCAGCTACCTGGGAGGCTGAGGCAGGAGAACTGCTTGAATCTGGCAGAGGTGGCAGTGTGCCAAGGCTGCACCATTGCACTCCAGCCTGGGCAACAAGAGTGAAACGTGTTCCAAAAAAATAATTAATTAATTTAAAAAAGAAATTTATAGCATATGTAGATATAATTCATGTGACAACTACAACATGAAAGAGGTTACTGGAACATTTTTACATAAAAGTAGTTCAATATTAACTCTAAGTGAACTATGAAAAGTTAAGGATATATACCGTAATCCATAGAGTAACTGCTTTAAAAATGCTAAGAAATACAGCTAAAAAATAACAGATGAATTAAAATGAAATTCTTAAAAACTCAGTTAACCTAAAGAAAAAAGAAACAAAAGAACAAAACACAAATAAGATAAACAGACAACCAGCCTGGCCAACGTGTTAGACCGAAAACATGTTAGACCAAAAACCAACCATATCAATAATTACATTTAGTCCAGATATGGTGGCTCGCGCCTGTAATCCCAGCACTTTAGGAGTCCAAGGCAGGCAGTTCACGAGGTCAGGAGTTCAAGACCAGCCTGGTCAACATAGTGAAACCCCGTCTCTACTAAAAATACAAAGTTAGCTGGGCATAGTGGAGCACACCTGTAATCCCAGCTACTAGGGAGGCTGAGACATAAGAATCGCTTGAAACCGGGAGGCAGAGGTTGCAGTGAGCCGAGATCACACCACTGTACTCCAGCCTAGGCAACAAAGCAAGATGCCATCTTCAAAATACATAAAGCAAAAATGACAAAATTAAGAGGAGAAATGAACAAACCTACAAAACGGAGATTTTAACAACTGTTTTACAAATTGACAGAATTAGACAAAAGGGAAAAAAAACCCCACAAAACTCAATTTATCAGAGAAACAGCATCAACTACCTTAATCTTATTCACAGATACAAAACACACACACAACAATGGTAAAATACATATTATTTTCAAGTGCATATGGAACATTCACCAGGACAGAGCTTATGCTGGACCATAAATTAAATCTCAACAAATGTAAAAAGATTGAAATCCTACAGAGTATGTTCTCTGATTACAGGAAAATTACATTAGAAATCAACAGCAACATAAAATACCTGAAACTAAAACAACATACTTCTTTATTTGTTAACCAACAACCCATGGTCAACAAATAAATCACAAGATATATTAAATTGAACAAATACAGAAACACAACATACCCAAATTTGTAGGATGCTGCTAAAGAGTGCTCAGTAGGAAATTTGTAACTTTATTTTTATTTGTATTTATTATTATTATTATTATCCTGAGACAGAGTCTCACTCTGTTACCCAGGCTGGAGTGCAATGGTGCTGTCTCAGCTCATTGTAACCTCTGCCTCCCGGGTTCAAGCGATTCTTCTACCTCAGCTTCCCAAGTAGCTGAAATTACAGGCACCTGCCACCACGCCTGGCTAATTTTTGTATTTTACTAGAGATGGGGTTTCACCACGTTGGCCAGGCTGGTCTCAAACTCCCGACCTCAGGCAATCCGCCCACCTCAGCCTCTCAAAGTGCTGGGATTATAGGCATGAGCCACTGAGCCCAGCCAGAAATTTATAACTTTAAATGCTCATATCAGGATGAAAGATCTTTTCCTCAGGTAAAGAAAAAAAATAGGAAGTAAGATATAAATCAATTAGCTAAAGTTCCAGAAAAAGTTGAAGGAAGAAAAAAAAGATCAAAATAGAAATCAAAGATATTTAAAAAGACAAACAATAGGCCGGGTGCGGTGGCTCACGAGGTCAAGAGATGGAGACCATCCCAGTGAACATGGTGAAATCCCGTCTCTACTAAAAATACAAAAAATTAGCTGGGCATGGTGGTGCGTGCCTGTAATCTCAGCTACTCAGGAGGCTGAGGCAGAAGAATTGCCTGAACCCAGGAGGTGGAGGTTGTGGTAAGCTGAGATCGCGCCATTGCACTCCAGCCTGGGTAACAAGAGCGAAATTCCATCTCAAAAAAAAAAAAGACAAACAATAATAAAGTAAAAGGTCGGTTCTTTAAAAACAAAATAAAGCCCTAGTCATACTAACAGAGGGAATACAAATTAACAAAGTCAGAAATGAAAGGAGCATAACATTAAAATGATAAGGGAATATTATTAATAAAAGGTGAAAAAACATCAACAGAACAGTCAATTTTTTGGTTTTGGTTCACAATTAAAGCATAGGCAAAAGTGTGTGTAAGAAGAGGATTAATTTAACTCTAAATATGAACCTTCCACAGTTGAAATATCCTGTAATTCCACAAGGGGAGAGGTTGGTTCCGTTTTCATAGTGTTTTCTCCCACTGACGGACAGTTCAACTCCAAGCCTGCAGCCCCAGATCCATCCCCAAAGGAGTGGCAAGTCAGCGCAGATGAGACCTGGCCAGCCTCCAAAACAGACTTCAATTGACCTAGAAGAAAAAAAAAGTTTGGAGGAACATATACATGTATGTAATTCTGGAACTGAAAGTCTTACAACAGTCTACAAAAGCCACAGACTTTTTAGAGAAAAGAATTAATCTAAAACATAAAAGTATACATTCACAGGTTCCAGTACATACAGGCTAGCCTGTGAACTTCTCAAAGAAAGAGAAAGTGAAAGGAGAAATTGCTGGAAGTATAAACACAAAGGCACAAATGAGATGGCAGCAGAGAGAGAAGCAGGGCTCTTCAGTGTACCTCCAGGCCAACACTGACCCGTAGACAAGCAAAACCAACCACAAATGCATCCAGAAAGTATGTCTAATGAATAAATCATCAGTGAAGAGCAATACATTTTAAAAACACTGCAGCGCATTCAATAGTTTGATTTCGAGACAATTTAATACTTGTGGAAGGCAGAACACAATGACTTAGATGATTCTCACTAAATAAGCATCACTGACTCACCTTTTTCAGATTCCTTGGTACTAGACAACGTATCTTGCAAAGGATCCGTATCAACCAAATCTGATACAACCAAGTCAGGATCTAGGATCTCATGGGTCCCATTAGTGGACAGCCTGGAGGAACGTCTCCTCGATAAGTCTTTGTCAGTGTTTTCCGAGTAGTTTTTTGACTTTTCCTGGGCTATTAAACCATTAAGAGAGTTGTAGTCAAGAGACCAACAAGAAGAAATAACTCTGCTACTACAGATTTCTGGGCTGGATGTCTCTATAAGGACTTTACAGAGAGACTCCTGGAATGTCAGAGTAGAGATAAAAGGAAATACCCTTTCCTAGTTTACAGTTTTAAGTAAGGGCAAACCCTACCTGCCAGGACAGACTTTCACTTCTTTAAGGATTCATGATCTGAAAACATGTGCCAGGTCATGGTCCAGTCTTGACAACTATGTTCTATTTTGGGGCTTCCCAAATGTATTAACTTCCAAAGTCAATAAGCTTTATAAGAGCCTTACTTAGAGCCATCACAAATCCTTTTTGGAGCCAACAGGGTACTTCTGAAATTTAAATTTATTTATACAAATCAATAAATAGTATTTTATTTTTTATTTTTTTTTTGAGACAGAGTCTCACTCTGTCACCCAGGCTGGAGGGCATGGCACGGTCTTGGCTCACTGCAACCTCCACCTCCCAGGTTCAAGCAATTCTCCTGCCTCAGCCTCCCGAGTAGCTGGGATTTCAGGCGCCCACCACAACACCCTGCTAATTTTTGTATTTTTAGTAGAGACACGGTTTCACCATGTTGGCTAGGCTAGTCTCGAACTCCTGACCTCAGATGATCCACCCGCCTCAGCCTCCCAAACTGCTGGGATTCCAGGCATGAGCCATGGTGCCCAGCTGATAAGTAGTATTTTCTTTTTCAATAGAGACGGGGTTTCATCATGTTGGCCAGGCTGATCTCGAACTCCTGACCTTGTGATCCGCCCGCCTCAGCCTCCCAAAGTGTTGGGATTACAGGCATGAGCCACCGCACCCAGCCTAATAAATAGTGTTTTTAAAGTTTCACTCTGCATATGTGAAACCCATCCCTTCCTAAGCCATTAATTTCCAGTGGCATCCAAATCAAATGTAATTTCTGGATATGGAGTTGATACCACAGAATTCAACATTAGCAGTTTGTGTTTTGGGATTTCTTTTTCCTATACCAAAAGCTCCTTCTGATCCAAATGCATCCCACTCACATTACCTTATGTGACCAGAGACAAACATTGGAGCCTATAGGGAATAGGGGCAGGATGAATAGAGAGAAGGTTGACCCAATGTCAAATTCTAGCCACACATAAACAAACTGGAGACTCACATGAATTTTTGTCAACCCGAGGACGTTTTAATGGGACTTCACATCCTTTTGATATTTTCCGTCTTCTCAATTCCAATGTTATTGGTTGCAAAGTTTGAGAGTTTGAATCCACAGCTACAATGTTTGTAAAACCACACAAAAAAAGATATGTAATTTCTTAGTGTTGTCATTTTTATATATAAACAAAACATATATATATATGCAGAAATCACTGCATTATAAACAGATCAAAAGGGCATTCTTACTTAAAAGTAAAATGAGTAAGAAATTACTTCCTTATAGGAGATGGTGATACCTTCCAATTGGCCTCCTCAGTCTTTTCTGTGATCCAGCTCTGGTTAAGAAATTACTTCCTTATAGGAGATGGTGATACCTTCCAATTGGCCTCCTCAGTCTTTTCTGTGATCCAGCTCTGGTTTTCAACCTCTACTTGTTACGTTAATTATCTTAGCATTGGGCCTATTTTTTTTTTTTTAGATGGAGTTTTGCTCTTGTTGCCCAGGCTGGAGTGCAATGGCACCATCTTGGCTCACCGCAACCTCCACCTCCCTGGTTCAAGCGATTCTCCTACCTCAGCCTCCTGAGTAGCTGGCATTACAAGCATGCACCACCATGCCTGGCTAATTTTGTATTTTTGGCAGAGACAGGGTTTCTCCATGTTTTTCAGGCTGGTCTCAAACTCCCAACCTCAGGTGATCTGCCCATCTCAGCCTCTCAAAGTACTGGGATTACAGGCGTGAGCCACCATGGCACTGGGCCTACTTTAGAGGGTACAAGTAAAATGTCCAAGAGAATTTTTATTCTTTTTTTTTTTTTTTTAAAGAGACAGAGTCACTCTCTGTCACCCAGGCTGAAGTACAGTGGCACAATCTCAGCTCACTGCAAACTCCGCCTCCCAGGTTCAAGCGATTCTCCTGCCTCAGCCTCCCGAGTAGCTGGGATTACAGGTACCTGCCACCACACCTGGCTAATTTTTGTATTTTTAGTAGAGTCAGAGCTTCCCCATATTGGTCAGGTTGATCTCAAACTCCGGACCTTAGGTGATCAGCTGCCTCGGCCTCCCAAAATTCTGGCATTACAGGCATGAGCCACCAAGCCCAGCATAGAATCTGTATTTTCTTTCTTTCTTTTTTTTGAGGCAGTTTTACTCTTCATGCCCTTAATGGAATGCAATGGCGTGCGATCTCAGCTCACTGCAACCTTCACTACCAGGTTCAAATGATTCTCCTGCCTCAGCTTCCCTCGTAGCTGAAATTACAGGCACCTGCCACCACGCCCAGCTAATTTTTTGTATTATTAGTAGAGACAGGGCTTCACTATGTGGGCCAGACTGGTCTCGAACTCCTGACCTCAAGTGATCGACCCACCTCAGCCTCCCAAAGTGGTGAGATCACAGGCGTGAGCCACCACACCCGGCTGAGAATTTGTATTTTCTTAAACATGACCCTAAAAAAGTTTTGGGGAGACTATGCTACTTAACAGTGTATGTTCCAGGCAAGGCTGCTAGTCACCAGCAAACCCAGCTGACATAATTTAGCAGTACACACGCTAAGCCTTTGGAGAGTATTTACTATTTAGTTTTTCATTTGTTTGTTTGCTTGTTTTTTTGAGATGAAGTCTTGCTCTGTTGACCAGGCTGGAGTGCAGTGGCACAATCTCGGCTCAGAGCAACCTCTGCCTCCTAGGTTCAAACGATTCTCCTGCCTCAGCCTTCCCTGAAGCTGGGATTATAGGCACCTGCCACCACACCTGGCTAATGATGATGATGATGATGATTATTAATATTTTTGGTAGAGATGGGATTTCACTATGTTGGCCAGGCTGGTCTCAAACTCCTGACCTCAAGTGACCCGCCCACCTTGCCCTCCTAAAGTGTTGAGATTACAGGTGTTTGAGCCACACCCCCAGCATAGTACTTACTATTTAGTTTTTTTTTTTTATTTTGTTTTATTTTATTTACTTATTTTAGGAGAAACGGGGTTTTGCCATGTTGGTCAGGCTGATCTGGAACTCCTGATTTCAAGTGATCCACCCAACTTGGCTTCCCAAAGTGCTGGGATTACAGGTGTGAGCCGCCCTGCCTGGCCTTTTTTTTTTTTTTTTTTTTTTTTTTTTGAGACGGAGTCTCACTCTGTTACCCAGGTTGAGCACTGTGGCATGATCTTGGCTCACTGCAACTTCCACCTCCTGGATTCAGGTGATTCTTCTGCCTTAGCCTCCCAAGTAGCTGGGACTACAGGCATGTGCAACCACGCTAATTTTTTGTGTGTTTTTGGTAGAGATGGGCTTTCACAATCTTGGCCAGGCTGCTCTCGAACTCCTGACCTTAAGATCCACCCACCTCGGCCTCCCAAAGCGCTGGGATTATAGGTGTGAGCCACTATGCCTGGCGTGCCTGGCTTTTTTTTTAATTTTTTTGAGACAGAGTTTTGCTCTTGTTGCCCAGGCTGGAGTGCAGTTGCTGCAATCTGGCTCACCACAACCTCCCCTCCCCGGGTTCAAGCGATTCTGCTGCCTCAGCCTCCCCGGTAGCTGGGATTACAGGCATGCACCACCAAGCCCAGCTAATTTTGTATTTTTAGTAGAGATGGGGTTTCTCCACGTTGGTCAGGCTGGTCTTGAACTCTAGGCCTCAGGTGATCTGCCCACCTTGATCTCCCAAAGTGCTGGGATTACAGGAGTGAACCACTGTGCCTGGCTCTTACTATTTAGTTTTGACCTACCACTTAGGAAGCTCTCACGAAATCAGAAAAAAACGAGAATCAAAAAGGCAAGCAGAAGAAAGAAACTGGGAAGTTGGGCAAGAAGGCAGGGCTAAGGGGTCTCAGGAAGGGCAAAAGGTGGAGAAAGAAGAGGGAGGAGGAAAGGAAGAGGGAGGAAGATACGTAAATGGGAGGAAAAGAGGAAAGGAATGAAGAAAGATGAGAAGAGGGAAAGAGAGAAAAGACTCATCTAAGACCTGTAGCTTCAGGTCAAATGGCTCAAGACACAGGCCTGAAGTGTGTGGAGGAAAACTGGAGGAGACCACTGAGCTCCTTGGTTCTTCCTGGGTTCAAGCTTCCCAATGTGCCAGTATTGTTTTGTTCAAACTGGCGGAACTTGGAAATCTCATACATTCCAAGTTAAACATAAATACAAACCTGCTGGGCGTGGTGGCTCACGTCTCTAATCCCAGCACTTTGGGAGGCCGAGGTGGGCAGATCACCTGAGATCAGGAGTTCAAGACCAGGCTGGCCAACAGGGTGAAACCCCATCTCTACTAAAAATGCAAAAACTTAGCTGGGCGTGGTGGCACACGCTGTAGTCCCAGGTACTCCGGAAGCTGAGGCACAAGAATCGCTTGAACCCAGGAGGCAGAGGTTACAGTGAGCCAAGATCCTGCACTCTAGCCTGGGAGACAGAGTAAGACTTCCATCTCAAAAATAAATAAATAAAATAAAATAAATACAAACAATCCTCTCTAAGTAGCTCAGATACTGTTCCCAATCAAGTCTATACAACCTAGGGTGCTCAAGGAAGGCTCTACAAGTCAGTGACCTTATTCCAAGTAATGTTTTAAGGGGATTTGAACAATATATGGGATACTTGGCAAGTCTTCTTCCCTTTGATACCATATAGAAACGGCCTCACTATACAGAACTTGAGTTTTTCCCAAACTCCTCTTACAGTGTAAGTCACCTGGGAAGCTTATTAACAATTCATATTCCCAGGTTTCCACCGGGATAGTCTAACTGGAAAGGACTAAGGCATGGCTGGAATCTGTTTTTACAAGTGCCTTGGGCGAGGATTCACCGTAACTTGGAAAACATCCTTTCTATATTAAAGTTATCCTACTCACTATGAAATCCTACACTTATTTTTTTTAAATGTCCTTTCTCTTATCTCAATGGAGTCATGTGGCTTCAAAGGAGTAGTCCGCTTGTTGGGGTACAACTACTCCTGTACATACCTTCTGGAGGGTATAAGCCAGGGTATGAATAGCTAATAGGGAATCAGTTTCAAAACATTCAGGTCTCACACATACTCTTTCCTAAACTGAGCTAAGGACATGTCAGATTTCTGCCAGTTTACATTTTCCACCCCTCCTTGTATAACTGCCTTTAACTGTCCTTCACTTCACATAAAAGGGCCCGCCTCTCATACATCCCACATCTTAATATTGTGTTCTGCCTGCAGGTTTAAAACTTCCAGATTTTCTCAACTGGGGTTCCTCATCTGAACAGACACGTATTTTCTCTGTTTTCCTAAGGGTGGTATACAACTAGTTCTAATCTCAATGCACTAAGGTCAATCCATCACAGATCAAGGATGCCTTGGGCCTTGTGGCTTCTCTCAGAACTCTGTTGAGAAAGCCAGTGAGCGTAAAGCCAGTGAGCGTAAAGCCAGTGAGCGTAAAGCCAGTGAGCATAAAGCCAGTGAGCATAAAGCCAGTGAGCATAAAGCCAGTGAGCGTAAAGCCAGTACTGTTCAATGGAAACATACTAAGAGGGCAAGCCACATGTAATTTTTTTTTTTTTTTTTTTTTGAGATGGAGTCTCACACTGTCACCAAGGCTGGAGTGCAGTGGTACGATCCTGGATCACTGCAACCTCTGCCTGCTGGGTTCAACAGATTCTCCTGCCTCACCCTCCCAAGTAGGTGGGATTATGAGCCACCATGCTCATATAATTTTTGTGTTTTTAGTAGAGACACAATTTCACCATGTTAACCAAGCTGGTCTCAAACTCCTGACCTCAGGTGATCCGCCTACCTTGGCCCCAAAATGCTGGGATTACAGGTGTGAGCCACTGCACCCAGCCAATTTTTGTATTTTTAGTAGTGACAGGGTTTCACCATGTTGGCCAGGCTGGTCTCAAACTCCTGACCTCAAGTGATCCACCCACCTCAGTCTCCCAAAGTGCTGGGATTATAGGTATGAGCCACCATGCCCGGTCATACTCAATATTTTTAAATTGATGTGTGTTACATTCTTTGTACTAAGTATTTGAAATCCAGTGTTTACTTACACTTATAGCACATCTCGATTCAGACTAGTTACACTTCAAGTAGTCAATAGCACCATGCGGCTACTGGCTACCATACTGGACAGCAAAGGTCTAGGCCCTATTTAGCCCTAGGGACAATTACAGCATCCTCAGCTCCTGAGGGCAAATCCCAGTTACAACCACTAGAGGGGAAGATCCCTTAGTTCATCTGGAGACAAATCAACCTATTATATAATTTCCTATCTTACAATGAATACTAATATATTTATGTGAAGAAAGCTAAATTTTTTCCCACCGAAATTAAGTTTGAAAGCTGATTTGATAGGGAAGACCAGCTTTCCATTCTCTACATCGTTAGGAAATAATGAAAAGGTTTGCTTTGTAGTTCCACAATTTTGATGAAAATACATGGCACGCACATGTGTGTGTGTGTGTGTGTGTGTGAGAGAGAGAGAGAGAGAGAGAGTGTGTGTGTGTGGGGGTGTCACTGCATTGCCTAGCCTGGTTTGGAACTCTTGGGCTCAAGCAATCCTCCCACTTCATCCTCCTGAGTAGCTGGGACAACAAACATGCACCAACGCACTCAGCCTTCACGTTTTTGTATCTTAAATATATCCACTGCAGCTATTTAAAATTGTGAGAAAAAGATAAATACTGCTTTAAAACATGCTAGGGGATTCTCAGTTTGTCAGCTAAACACATAGAGAATGCACAATCAAGAATGTCTGAAGATCACTGCCAGATACTTAATCATGGGCAGGCTCAGTCTAGAGACCCTGGGGGACTCTTCATGACACTGAATTGATCTGGAGAATGAGTGTTTGGCTTAGGAAGGAATCAGAGCTTGTTTCATTCTTGGTTATTCTAGAATAATTCCAAATTTTAAGTTTTCTAGTAACTGTCATTCTTTCCTAAATCTATACCCTCTAACCTTGTCTCTTACCGATTAGCCACCTCGGTTTTTTTATTTAGACTGTGAAAATTTCTAATCAATAATTACTCTCCAAGGAGCTCAATTACAAAATGTACCCATGCATTTTAGCTCCGATGTTCCTTTGTCCCCGTCTCCTTCAGAAGCCCATACCTTTTTACTACTTCTTTTCTTTCATGTCTGTCTTACTAAAACTCTATTTCCCGATTCCAGGTTCCATTAAGCTGACTTAAATGGAGATCGTTTGAAAAAGTACAAGGAAAAGGCCTTGGTTTATCAGGTTTTCTCAAATAAGCTGAAGTATCTAGTCAACAGTTAACCAGTGCTTCAGGGAGCTCAGGTATGAACACACTTCCCAACTTACATTCACTTAAATTCAGTTTCGTGAACACAACTTGTTTCCAGATCATAAAACAATTCAAAATCAGTCACAAAAACAAAGAACTGAAGTACACAAGTTACAAAGAACCACAAAGGGCCACAGAAGAATATTCTGGCATTGCCCATTGCAGAGCCCACTTGAAAAACTCACCAGTAGGAGCTATGGAAGGGGGTCTGCCTCGTTTTCTTTTGGGTTCCCTCAAGTTTTCTTGTGGACTCTTCACAATGTCATTTTCAGGTTTCTTATCCACTTTGGCTTCTCCAGAATACTCCCTGTCGTTTTCTGAAATGTTTTCCTTATCTTCCTTCTCGTTCTTAGGAAGGCTTTTCTCTGACACTTTCCCCTTTTCAGAACAGGTCAACTTTCCTTCTTTATCAGGCTGCTTGGGTCGCTTTTCTGTCTTTAAGGGTTTATCTTCTTTGTCTTTCTTCACATTCACTGTGGCTTTTCTCTGTTCCTTAAACCTCTCTCGTTTATCAGGAGATGATGAAAGACTTTTGTGATCTGTTTCTTTAGGCCTAGCATTACCCACAATATTCTAAAATGAGCAAAATAGTGATGAAACACTTTGTGATTACTTGCAAATACAAAATCAGGAGTTTCTTACAAACTTATGAAGACAAACAAAGAAATTAAGAGGACATATGCCAGGTCACAAATACAAAGCACCACTGAACATATCCACCTGTACTGAGTTGAGAATCAATCCTTAAACTTAAAACAATTCAATTCTTCCAAGGACAGAGCAGTCTCCCTTATTATGACGAATAAGTCACTAGAAAATAAAATTCTGGTTTTGTTTTTTTTTTTGAGATGGAGTCTTGCTCTGTCACCAGGTCGGAGTGCAGTGCCACGATCTCAGCTCACTGCAACCTCCACCTCCCAGATCAAGCAATTCCCCTGCCTCAGCCTCCCAAGTAGCTGGGACTACTACATGCGTGCCACTACTCCCTGCTAGTTTTTTGTATTTTAGTAGAGACAGGGTTTCACCATGTTGGCCAAGATGGTCTTGATCTCCTGACTTCGTGATCCGCCCACCTCGGCCTCCCAAAGTGTTGGAATTACTACAGGCCTGAGCTACCACACAAGGCCAACTCTGGGTTTTTGTTTGTTTTTGTTTCTGAGACAAGGTCTCTCTCTCAGTTGCTCAGGCTGGAGTGCAGTGGCATAATCATGGCTCATGCAGCCTTGACTCCTAGGCCCAAGCGATCCTCCCACCTCAGCCTTCCGGGTAGCTGGGACCACAGGCATGTTTCACCATGTCCAGCTAAGTTTTTTATTGTTATTTTTTGTAGAGATAGGGTCTCCCTATGTTGCCCAGGCTGGTCTCAAACTCCTGGGCTCAAGCAATCCTCCTGCCTCAGCCTCCTAAAGTACTGGAATTATAGGCACTAGCCACCATGCCTGGCCTTAAAATTCAGAAAAGCAATCTTTCTGGCAGAGGTGTTCTAAGAAAATGCCTTCATGCTCTGTCCTTATCTCCAGCATTACTATACTGACCCAGAGCTTTTCAGAGGCCTGGTTCAGTTTGCCAGCATATGCTGATGTCTTATGTAGAGAAAAACCCAAAATAATAACTGGAAGCTGAACAGGAAATCTATAAAGGTTCTGGGTTTTTCCAACCCAGAACCAAGGTCTCTGCTTCCTCTACTAGGTTGTGCTCAGTTCAACAGCCACCTACTGTGTTCCTGAGCTACTTGGGATTTTTTGCGTATTGGCAGGAAATACTGTTTCTTAGTTACATTCTCCCTAAATTACATTCTTTAAAATTCACACTAAAAGTCACAGGTCCTCTAATATGACTGTTTTATAATAAGGCCAGGTCTGAAAACTCAAGATTCCAAAACTCTAATTAAGTTTATTTGTGTACATATCTCTCTTCTAGGACCTCAAAAGAACAGAGACCACCATACTATGTTCATATGAGATCCCCAGCACCTAGCACAACTAGGCACATGGTTTCCACTGGAAGCAGAAAGGAGTACCTAAATACTCAATAAATAAAAGTTTAATTTGTTCTACTGGGAAAAATAATAAACAAGAAAATATTTTTTCAAGTCCCCAAAATTATCCTGAAAGCAGCCAGGTTTGAGAACAGGAATTCTTGTCAACGGCCAGCAGAAAGAGAAAGTGAAATCGCCCTTCTTACTGGGGGTTCAGGGAGGAGTTGGCAATTTGAGTCAAAACTAAAAAGGTTATACCTTTGAACTAGAACAAATTCCTAGAAATAAAATTAGCTAAGAGAATAATCAGACTTGTGTATCTGGATTTACAAATATCCTTAATGACCATTTGGGAATTGGTTACACAAAGTGCAGTTACATACATATTACAAAATACTACATATTACAAAATAGCCATTAAAAATCATATTCTCAGAATATTAAGGAACTTGGGGAAATGTTAGTTAAAAGAAAAGAGCAGTACTATATTAATGTACCACAACTCCAGTTTTGAAAAGAAATAGATACACACACACACACACACACACACAAACGCTTAATAAAAACACAGAAAGATATACACCAAACTGTTAAGCCAAGTTATACACCAAAGTATTAAGAACATTTATATCTGTTTGATGGAATTATAGTTTTTATTTCTTTATGCCTTGTACTTTTCAAATTTTCTACAGCAAACATGTATTACAACATCACAAATGTAAGTGTCACTAATAGAGAGGCTATCCAAACATTTATGGCAGCGCAGTGCTACAGAACAAAAAAAATCTCAATCTATTCTAATAGTAAGTGGAAAAACCTTTAAAACCGCCCATGACAGATAACTAGCCAAACTGCTGTTCCCTCTTGGAAAAGAAACCAAGTCCAGGAGCCATGCACCTGTGTTTAAGGGCCTACCAGGCTAAGGTTAGACACTCAGAGGCCACCGGGAAATGAGAAATGAAGCACGGCACCCAGAAATCCTCGGTGGGTAAGGCACCCACCTCCAAGCCAAGCACTGTAAGTGCTATCCATCAATTTACTGAGTAAAGCAGAGTGAACAGATAAACATTTGTTATCTGAAGCCCTGGACTTCCACTTGGGAAGGTTCTGGATATATTCAGCCAAATCTGGGCAAGTTCATTATTCTGTCCTCTATATTAGCTTTTTCTACAAACCTAACATAAAAATTGCAAAATTTAAGGCCAAAACAATGTTTTAGAATACTGTATGGCTCCTTACGTGCCTGAGAGACAAGTGATCAAAAGAAAAAGCATCATTGGGGCCCAAGCTTTAAGTAATAATTTTGTTAATTTTCTGAAGGGGAAAACAAGCAAAAGGCAAAAACATTCTTGAGGTTACCTCTAAAGGTACCATGTATCAAAATCCTTTGAAGTAGCTAGGCATGGTGGTTCACACCTGTAATCTCAGCAGTTTGGGAGGCTAAGGTGGGCAGATCACCTGAGGTCAGGAGTTCGAGACCAGCCTGGCAAACACGGTGAAACCCCTATCTCTACTGAAAATACAAAAATTAGCCAAGCATGGTGGCACATGCCTGTAGTCCCAGCTATTCAGGGGGCTGAGACTGGAGAATCACTTGAACTTGGGAGGTGGCGTTTACAGTGAGCAGAGATCAGGCCACTGTACTCCAGTCTGGGCAACAGAGAAAGACTCTGTCTCAAAAAAAGAAAAAAAAAAATTACAAATATACATATAGAACAATTCATTAAAAATCTCTGATAAGTAGAATTGTTTCATCATCACAAAGAAACAACACAGGGCCAGGCGCAGTGGCTCACACCTGTAATCCTAGCATTTTGGGAGGCTGAGGTGGGCAGATTGCCTGAGCTCAAGGGTTTGAGACCAGCCTAGACAACATGGTGAAATCCTGTCTCTACTAACATACCAAAAATGAGCCGGGCATGGTGGCACACACCTGTAGTCTCAGCTATCTAGGAGGCTGAGCAGGAGAATCACTTGAAACAGGGAGGCAGGGAAGTTGCAGTGGGCCAAGATTGCACCACTGCGCTCTAGTCTGGGCAACAGAACAAGACTCTGTCTCAAAAAAAAAAAAACAAAGACACAACAGGTTATATAGCATCACCAAATACTGTCACATCAACTGCCACCCAAGGGGCTGAGTAACCAGTTATGATGTCTCAGTGATAAAATATTTTACTAAATTGCTAAATTAGCTGTCTCAACAGGTGAAATTAGTAATAAGGATTTTTAAAAACACCAATATCCAAATGTTGATCTCTATTTTCCCCTCAACTATTAAAACATAAACACAAAAAAGACAAAAGGTGAAAAATCATGAAGTAAGCAACACTCCTAGATGGCTTATCTAGTTTGCATAGATATCTATGCAAACCGTATTTCCAGTATCAAAACTGAGGCCCCTTGCTCAGGCAAGTAAATGCACGGTGACTAGAACAACAGGATACAAAATTCTCAAACCAGGCACATCTAACACAAGTGGCTGATAAATCTGTGCCAAATGGTAGCTCTGTAAACTGCCAAGACATGGTCCTAAGCTAAAAGACAGGCCTAGACGGAGAGAACACATGCTGGAGATCTGTCTCCTTGAGAAATTCAGTAAGTTCCCTGTGATGGCTAACAGCTGTGTTGGGGGGGGGCAGGGCACAGAGAGAAGAAGTGTGCCTGTGTGTGTGTGTGTGTGTGTGTGTGTGTGTGTGTGTGTGTGTGGTGGGGAAGGCAGGGCCCAGAGAGAAGAAAAGAATAACCAGACACTGTTGAGAAAAGATGAAGAAAACAGAATATAGGCAGTGGTATCCAAGTATCTGGCACTTTTGAAAAAAATCTCTATTAAAAGGAAACAGCGGCCAGGCATGGTGGGGATCACCTGAGGTCAGGAGTTCGAGACCAGCCTGACCAGTATGATCAAATCCTAATCTCTACTCAAAATACAAAAAAATTAGCCGGGCCTGGTGGTGCATGCCTATAATCCCAGCAACTCAGAAGGCTGAGACAAAAGAATTGCTTGAACCCAGGAGGCAGAGGATTGCACTCCAGCCTGGGCAACAGAGTAGGACCGTGTCTCTAATAAATAAATAGGAAACAGCAAAGAGACAAACATTTACAACTTCTGAAAACTTGTGTATTATTTTCTCACCAGAAAATAATTGTGTCAGATGAAGAAAATAAACAGTTGCCATCATAAATGTAATGTCTTTATTTGAGGAAAGAAAAATACAACGTTAACATTATTCATAATACAAAGCACAAAACCACATTTCTCACCTGATCTTTGGAAAAAGCTTTGACATGAATATGTTTGACAGTCTGAACTACTCCATCATAAAATTTCACAGTATAAGTACCTAAAATTCAAGAAGATATCATGATTTTAACTCAGTTTCATTAAAGTGGTAACTTTTCAAAGTATAAACACAAGGGATCTCCAACCACATAATAAGCTTATAGGAGTTTAAAACTGTTTAAGAATCATATTGAATCTTACTTATGTCCAAGGTAACAGTATGCTGCCTTCATTTCTTACGATTACACAGTTTCAATCTACATAAATCAAAATCCATCAAAAAAAAAACTCCCATTTTTAGAGATGCTTCATTAAGAAAAAAAAAAAATTTCACTGAATTTTTGTCAAGAACAATTAAGAATGTGAGGAAAGCCTGGGTACAGTGGCTCACATCTGTAATCCCCAAACTTTGGAAGGCCAAAGTGGGCAGATCATGAGGTCAGCAGATCAAGACCATCCTGGCTAACATGGTGAAACCCCATCTCTACTGAAAATACAAAAAAAAATTAGCCAGGCATGGTGGCTTGTGCCTGTAGCCCCAGCTACTCAGGAGGCTGAGGCTGGGGAATCGCTTGAATCTGGGAGATGAAGGTTGCAGTGAGCTGAGTTTGTGCCACTGCACCCTAGCCTGGCGAAAGAGCAAGACTCCGTCTCAAACAAACAAAAAGAATGTGAGGAACATGCTGACTTATTTATCCCTTGGTGAATTTTTTACTTTTGTAATTTAATCTTTATGTTCTGGGCTTGGGCCCATAGTAGCTCTTAAGCTTTAAAAAAAAGATCATGGCTCTCTGTCTTTTAGAGAGAGGGACTCCATCCAAAAAAAAATCATTCCAATAAATGTATTGTGTTTCTAGAGATGTGCTCTATCTCCACATCTCAAAATCCATTTGAATTATCTTCATGATACAATGTTTTAAAAGAGACTTGGCCAAAACATAAAATGCTACATTGTTAGTTTTTTCCTGCTACATTGTTAATGTTTTCCCCATTAGGAAAAAAAGTATTCAATAAAGATCCCTCCCTGCTAAAAAACCTTAAGCTATAAACTCAACTAATCTTATCTTCCCAAATAAGATGTCCAACTACAGACGTTCTCATTAACTGCACCGGAACAACACTTTCAAATTTTGCATCTTAGAACCAATTCATGCCCCACCCATTTTTGCCCCAGGGCTTTAAAATAATAATCACAGTTAATCTTGTCAAGGTTCAGAAATGGGAAACAGGTTTTTCCCTTTTTAGGACCAATTCCCCCAACCCCTGCAAAAAAAACCTTTGTTGCTGGGAGCAACAAAGTTAAGATCTAGTTCCCTCCTTCTTGCACATTCTCTCCCTAAATCCCTCCACCACCAGTGGCCTAGTCAATGGCTAATCCCCGGTAACAAATGAAGTCCAAAAGTACTCAAAGTTCAACACAATCAGAGCCCAATAATTTTCCAAACCTTATTTCTCATTACCAACATCCAACACTCACCAACTCCAAGTAAGAAGCTACCCACTGAAACTGCCGGCGACACTTCTATCTCCACATCTGTATTAAAGTGTTTTCCTTCAGGGAATGTGCCACTTACTGATCTTTAAGTCCCAGTCTCAAATACCCACAACAGTTCTGTAAAAGCTTCCTGGCTTTTCAGCTACTAATGATTACCCTCTGTTCTGAACTCCTTGGACTCATTTGGCACCAGGCTAAAGAGCTTCACACTCTTTAAGTCTACCTTCATATAAGTACAGATCACAACTCAAAAAGGCCACCGACCACATTTTATACCACTTTCTTCCACAAACAGTACCTGCCTTAGAGCAGACCAATGCTTCTCTCAAAGTGTGGTCCCAGACCAGCAGCGTGAGCAACTCCTGGGAACTCACTAGAAATGCAAGTTAGCAGACCCACCTCAGATATACTGAATCAGCAAGTGGGAACAGGACACTGAAATGTACGGTTTAACAACTCCCCCAGGTGATTCTAATGTTCAGCAAATTCCAAGAACCACTGCTATAGACAATTAGTAATTACCTACTGACCTTTATTCGAGGCAATTACAAAATTATTTGTTACAGGTGCCATCAATACATAAACAAGCTAGCAAGACATAGAAAGACACACTTCGATGTTCTCACTTATTTGTAGGAGCTAAAAATTAAAACAATTGAACTCATGGAGACAGAGAGTAGAAGGATGGTTACCAGAGGCTAAGAAGGGTAGTGGGCGGGAGTGGGAAAAGTGTCAAAGGTTAAGGGGTACAAAAAAGTTAGAATGAATAAGACCTAGTATTTGCTAGCACAACAGAGTGATTATGTCAAAAATAATTGTACATTTTTAAATAACTTGGCCAGGCACGATGGCTCACACCTGTAACCCCAGCACTTGGGAGGCCAAGGTAGGTGGATCACTTGCGGTCCGGAGTTGGAGACCAGCCTGGCCAACATGGTGAAACCCTGTCTCTACTGAAAATATGGGGAAAAAAATTAGCCAGGTGTGCTGGTGGACACATGTAATCACAGCTACTCAGGAGGCTGAGGCAGGAGAATCGCCTGAACCCAGGAGGTGGAGGTTGCAGTGAGCTGAAATCATGCCACGGCACTCCAGCCTGGGGGACAGAGTGAAATTCTGTCTTAAAAAAATATAAATAAAAAAACTAAGAGCATAACTGGATTGTTCATAACAAAGGATAAATGCTTGGAGTGATATATACCCCCATTTACCCTGATATGATTATTACACATTACATACCTGTATTAAAAGATCTCATGTAACTCATATAAATACACACCTACTTATTTACCCACAAAAAATTAAAAATATAGAAAAAAGAAACTGGCTAGCAAACAAGATATAAGGATATATAGTTATGCCTGTTTGGGTTAAAACAACAGCAATTAGATGAACAGGCTATGATAAAAGAAACTCACAGCTAAGAGCATAAACAATTATCTGTCTACACAGGCAGCTCAGCAATGACTTATGAGTACTTATAACAAATGTCTGGTTCCTGTTTTTCCCTGCCTATATTGTGTGGGTGTTGGCAAGCAAAGGAGTTATGATAAACAATGCTATGGAATTCTAAACAGACCCTTCTCAAACAATCACAGTGTAGCTCTGGCCAGTCTGGGGATGGAGGTTGGGGGATGGGAGTTCTAAGACTCCAGTTATCTTGAAATCTTAAATATTAGGTGTGTCAACAAGCCACCCAAGCCTACAAGCCACCGAAGATTATAATTCCAATTATTTTATCAACAAAGTTAGTTCAGTATCAGTTACATCAAAATGAAAACTATCATTTTTACTGTCATTTCCAACATCAAAAAGGCAATATTAAGTAATGTTACCTAACAGTCCAACATTTTCAGCTATTTGGGGTTAATTCTGAAGCTTACTCCTAATGGCAGAGTCCAGAAGGACTTACATAAAAGGAACCTGAGTTCCACAATAAAGTCTGAGACAGCTATCATTGGAATCCAAGCCTGTCTACTGACCTGAGACCAATTTTTTCCCACCACCCCACATTGCCTACTGCTCAAGCTCCTCAGCCTAATTCCAAACCACAGATCCAGTGTAGCACCAGCCACTCTGAAATGGCCCAAACTATGGCCAAAGGTGCTAAGGGATGACCATCTTTAGATATATCTCAGTCTTGACCCTTTTAACTTCCAAGGGACTACAAAGGATCATCTTGAAATTTTCTCCTTTAATCATGCTAAACACAGCCTAACTTGGGCTTCAATAAATCAGAGCAAATAATGGACAACAGAGAAGCCCAAATTTTACTTTAATGGTTTCATGTATATTACTAAAAGATTGTCTTCCTATGGAATCCTCCCACAAGTGGGTAATAATAGAGTTCTCCTGTGGCCACAAACACTACCTAACAAGCAACATGTAAATGAAAGAACTCAAAATAAATGTATCCTGCTGTATCTCCTCTTATGTGACACAAGGGCTACCTGCCTCAGACTCTCTTAAGTAGCTTTCGTTCTTAGATTTTAAGATGAAACAATGCTTCCTGGTCTTGCCTCTCTGGGGGTTAAGGACTTAGCATCGCAGACAATCTCATAGCAGGCAGTAATAGAAGGGTTCTAAGAACAAAACTAGAGATGCATAACAAGTTCATATTCTCTAGGACCAACAACATAGGGATAATACATTGGCGATTTTGGATTGGACAGATTTCTGTTGCTCATGAAATCTACCACAACTAAGACTTCAGGGCCTCTTGCTTTTTTTAGAAACAAGATCTTTATCACCCAGCCTGGAGTGCAGTGGTACAATCCTAGCTCACTGCAGCCTCACGCTCCTGGGCTCAAGCAATAGTACTGCCTCTGCCTCACAAGTGGCTGGGACCACAGGCATACACCAACATGTCCAACCAATGTTTTTTTTTTAATTTATTTTTTGTAGAGATAGCGAGGCATGGGGGTCTATGCTACCCAGGCTGGTCTCGAACTCCTGGCCTCAAACAATCCTGCCACCTCGGCTTCCTAAAACACTGGAATTACAGATGTGAGCCATCGTGCCCAGCGTCCAGGGCTTCTTTTCTATCTCATTCACTCTTCAGAAGTCAGATTATTCCAGAATGCCACAGATGGAAAATGGAGGGTTTTCAAACATCTTTTCTCAGACTGAAAGCAGTGAGTTATCTCAATTGATTGTTTACAGTCAGTTACAGATCGAACTTCTTGTGATACTCTTTCCCACCTTCTCACGACTGCTTTTGACTAGTTGTTTTTTGTTTTTGTTTTTGTTTTTGTTTTGAGACAGAGTTTCACTCTTGTTGCTCAGGCTGGAGTACAATGGTGTGATCTCGGCTCACCACAACCTCCACCTACCGAGTTCAAGCAATTCTCCTGCCTCAGCCTCCTGAGTAGCTGGAAATACAGGCATGCACCACTATGCCTGGCTAATTTTGTATTTTTAGTAGAGATAGGGTTTCTCCATGTTGGTCAGGCTGGTCTCGAACTCAGGTGATCAGCCCACCTCAGCCTCCTCCCAAAGTGCTGGGATTACAGGTGTGAGACATTTTTAAAAAGCTAGCCTTAAAAAAAAAGCCAGGCCGCGCATGGTGGCTCATGCCTATAATCCCAGCACTTTGGGAAGGCAAGGTGCATGGATCACAAGGTCAGGAGTTCAAGACCAGCTTGACCAACATGGTGAAACCGTGTCTCTACAAAAATACAGAAATTAGCTGAGCATGATGGCGGGTGCTTGTAATCCCAGTTACTTGGAAGGCTGAGTCATGAGAATTGCTTTAACCCAGGATACAGAGGTCGTAGTGAGCTGAGATCATACCACTGCATTCCAGCCTGGGTGACAGAGCAAGACTCCATCTCAAAAAAAAAAAAAAAGTTTTTTTGAAGTCCTTAGGCTTCCACAGATTGAGGGGTGGAGATGTGCACATGTCTGCAGCCAAAACCTTTCCCTCCCTCTAAGTATTTTCTTAGCAATTTTACATATTGGGTTTAGGTTCTGTGGCCAATACAATGCTCATCTATTCCCATTCCCTCTTTGACTTCTTTTTTTTTTGAGACGGAGTTTCGCTCTTGTTACCCAGGCTGGAGTGCAATGGCACGATCTCGGCTCACCGCAACCTCCGCCTCCTGGGTTCAGGCAATTCTCCTGCCTCAGTCTCCTGAGTAGCTGGGATTACAGGCACGCACCACCATGCCCAGCTAATTTTTTGTATTTTTAGTAGAGACAGGGTTTCACCATGTTGACCAGGATGGTCTCGATCTCTTGACCTCATGTTCCACCAGCCTCGACCTCCCAAAGTGCTGGGATTACAGGCGTGAGCCACCAAACCCAGCAACTTCTATCTGTTCAAAAATGTCCAGAGCAAAGGCAGTGAATTGCTCATAATCACTGAGCAGGAACTGGGACCAGAACCTGTCTCTCAATCATTGTTCTCAAGACAACACCAAGCTCCAGAAAGTACAGACCACTACATTCACTCTCACATTCTATCAGCGAACACCTGGACCTGATTGAAAACACCTGCCCTCTTAGGAAAACTGCTCCAAAGAGGCAGACCGGTACTGTGGGAACAACAGTTCAGGGACTCTAGAGAACCAGGGACCTCCATGCAGATCTCAGCAATACCATCCAAGTGCTTTATAACCTCAAGCAGTTTCCCCCTGTGATCTTAGTTCCTCATCTTCAAAATAAGAATGGGGTTAATGGCAATAATCTTTCCTTGTTGTGTAAAGACTAAATATGATAAGAAATGGAAATAACCTAGCACAGGGCCTGTCACAGACCAAGGGATCAATACCACCAAGTCACCCTAAAAGGGAAGCACAGCACACTGACATTTTTTTTTTTTTTTTTTTTGAGACAGAGTTTCACTCTGTCGCCCAGGCTAGAGTGCAGTGTGGCACAATCGGAGCTTATTGTAACCTCTGCCTCCTGAGTTCAAGTGATTCTCCTGCTTCAGCCTCCCAAATAGCTAGGACTACAGGCCAGCTATACCATGCCCAGTTAATTTTTGTATTTTTAGTAGAAATTGGGAGCCAGGCATGGAGGCTTACGCCTGTAATCCCAACACTTTGGGAGGCTGAGGCAGGCAGATCACCAGGTCAGGAGTTCAACACCAGCCTGGCCAACATGGTGAAACCCTGACTCTACTACAATTACAAGCATTATTAGCCGGGTGTGGTGGCACACACCTGTAGTCTGTAGTCCTAGCTACTTGGGAGGCTAGGTTGAGGCAGGAGAATCCCGTGTATCTGAGAGGCGGAGGTTGCAGTGAGCCGAGATCGTGTCACTGCACTCCAGCCTAAGCAACAGAGCGAGACTTCGTTTCTAAAAAAAAAAAGAAAGAAAAGAAACTGGTTCTGGTTTCACCATAGTGGAACTCCTGACCTCAGGTGATCTGCCACCTCAGCCCCCCAAAGTGCTGGGATTACAGGCATGAGCCATCGTACCTGGCCAGACATTGACATCTTTAAAGGCTATCTGGGCAAAAAAAAAAAGTGGGAGGAAGCACAATCCGTCTTCCCCCTATAGAAGGAAACAGCCAAGCTAAAGCTAATACCTGCATGTGTAAGCCTCAGTCTTCCTTATCTCTTTCTACAAAGCTGTTCACATAGTATCAACCTCCCCACATTTCAAATGTAGAATCAGTTACAGCATGAATAAAACAAAAAATAAGAGCTGCTTCAGCCAGAGACTCTAGAAACAAGACCATTTCCATAGCATCTCCTGTTGCAAATGCAGACAACTTCAGTCACCGGCCAGGGACTGAACTGGCGGGGTAAGCAATATGACTCAAAAATATGCATAGCTTTTAGGAAGAAGGAGCTGATTTACCTGCTCATTCAAGTTAAAGAACCGCAAATCAACAGAAAGAAACAATTCCCCATTTTGTCGTAAATGCTAACCTACAATAACTTTGAGTTTCCTCAAAGACAATAACTTACAGAGCAGAGTGGTCCACTACTGGGGGGCAAAAGCCCCATTAATGGACAGATAACTGGATCTGCTATCCCTGGTATAAAAAAAAGGGAGCTTCAGAAGGCTGAGCCAGGTGAATCACTTGAGGTCAGGAGTTCGAGACCAGCCTGGCCAATATGGTGAAACTTCATCTCTATTAAAAATACAAAAGTTGAAGCAGCAGCTGCATTGACACAGTTCTATCTTTACCTTCATGATGTTTCACTTGGTCAAAAATGCACTAAGATGTCTCCAAGTTCTAAGCATTCAGCAAACAATGGCAAGGCAGAGCCACCAGAAACGTACCCCTGATTTTTATGACAAATATGATAATGCTGTGTTAGCTAGTGAAGCCACTTTCTGTATGGCTCTATGGACATATAGAGCAACACAAATCAGAATAGAAAGGAACCTCTCCTCTGTTGGCAGAATCACCCCAAAGGAATGGAGAGATCAGTAATCATCTCAGCTGGTGTAATAATGAATTGTTCAAAAAACGGCTAATAATTGATGTCAAGTTAAAGTACTATGTACCCTTTAAGATACAGCATTAATGAAGAAATAAAATAGATGTGAAACTTAAAAAACAAAAAAATACAAAAATTAGCCAGGTGTGGTGGTATGTGCCTTTAGTCCCAGCTGCTCAGGAGGCTGAGGCAGGAGAATCGCTTGAACTTGGGAGGCAGAGATTGCAGTGAGCAGAGATCGTACCACTGCACTCCAGCCTGGGCAACAAAGCAAGACTGCCTCAAAAAAAAAAAAAAAAGGGAGGGGAAAGCTAAGCAGCCCCAACAAAGAGGTGAAGTCAGCTCACCAGAGATGGCTTCCAAACAAAGAGTCCCTGAGGCCAGGCGCAGTGGCTCAAGCCTGTAATCCCAGCACTTTGGGAGGCCGAGGAGGGTGGATTATGAGGTCAAGAGATGGAGACCATCGTGGTCAACATGGTGAAACCCCGTCTCTACTAAAAATACAAAAACTTAGCTGGCCATGGTGGTGCATGCCTGTAATCCCAGCTACTCAGGAGGCTGAGGCAGGAGAATTGCCTGAACCCAGGAGGCGGAGGTTGCGGTAAGCCGAGATCGCGCCATTGCACTCCAGCCTGGGTAACAAGAGCGAAACTCTGTCTCCAAAAAAAAAAACAAAAACAAAAACAAAGAGTCCCTGAAAGTAGAAACCCATCTTTTACTCTTTTACAACAACATAGACTGAGGGTTTTAACATAACTACTAATCGCTGCATTCACACTAAATAATGCTTAGTCTCCACTGCTGAAGAACCATTCCAGGTGAGAAGAGCTAAATAATATGACATCACCTGCCCTATTTTCCAAGTGCCAAGAGACTCCTTTAAGAAACTAAAGTTGTTATTTAGTTCTGATTCAATCATGCCAGACTCCTCAGTGTCAGCAGCTGCCACTTCCACACTCTGGCTAGAATCCCCACCCACCAGCCTGCTCTACACTCAGCCTCAGCAAAATATCCAAGAAGATTAAGAGTGGCAAGAAAATCAGACCAAGCCTTCTAAAGATGAATCTACAAGGTGTGACTTCACTATATCCCCTGCCTCCTCCTGGTAGCACCAGCAAGACATGAGTGACATTTACAGGAAATAAAGGGGGTGCCTTGCCAGCAGAACTGCTCCTCACAGTGCCATTAAGCTGGGGGCCACTGCTACAGATAAACCTAAGGCAATGCAGAAAATACCAGGGAAAAAGTGAAAAGAGAGACTACCATTGTCGCTACCACTCCCACAAGTACTACGCTGAATCATGATAAAGCAGAAACTGACCATCCGCTCTAATTCAAACCTAATCTTCTCTTTTTTCTTGAGATGGAGTCCTGCTCTGTCACCCAGGCTGGAGTGCTGTGGCGTGATCTCGGCTCAGGGCAACCTCTGCCTCCCAGGTTCAAGCGATTCTCCTGCCTCTGCCTCCTGAGTAGCTGGGATTACAGGTACATGCCACCATGCTCAGCTAATTTTTTTATTTTTAGTAGAGACAGGGTTTCACCATGTTGGTCAGGCTGGTCTTGAACTCCTGACCTCATGATCCTCCTACCTCAGCCTCCCAAAGTGCTAGGATTACAAACATGAGCCACCATGCCCGGCCACCTAATCATTTTTAAAATAATTATTTAAAAGAGTTTCAGACTCATCCCACACACAAACACAAAATGTTATAGAGACAGGTGCCAACCATGATTAACTTGCACCATCCTGCCTCCTCCTGGTACCTCTATTTCAGCACCTACTTCATTTGACCTTGAAGTAGGTCTTCTTTTGTTTTAATCCACGATGCTAGGCTCTGGGCTCTGCAGGTATTAGATCTAAAGAGTAGATTACTAAGCCTTCATTGCCTCCACCAATACACCTTCCCACCCCTCTAAGAGGCAATAATTATCTTCATCTCCAAATCAGGCATAGATCTGAGCTCCTACAAAGGCTAGCTTCCCTTCACAATCTGGTGGCTAGTAGTACCACCCAGCCTGTCCGCCTAACTTTCCGTTTCAGGATTGCCCCTCTCCCATACCCTCTCCTCCCTCTTCCAATGAGTCCCAAAAACCAGTCAGTGTGCAGCATAATACAGGCCTTCCAACCCGAGAATCTCAGGAAAACAGGTTTTGGCAGAAATTTCCATTCATTTTCATGTCCTTCAATTAACTAAATTTCACTGGACAGAATATGGAGCTTCAGAACCAATATATCAGTGTAGCAAATGACCGTTTTAGAAACTACCATAGCCTCAAGACTCTACCTCATAAATTTTAGCTTATAGAGGAAGCACAACTGAAATTTTTTTTTTTTTAAAGAGACAGGGTCTCATTCTACTGCCCACGCTGGAGTACAATGGCACTATCACAGCTTGTTGCAGCCTCAGATTTCTAAGCTCAGGGATCTTCCCACCTCAGCCATGCGAGCAGCTAGGACAACAGGCACATACCACCACATTCCTCTAATTATTTTTTCATAGTGAGATGAGGTCTCACTACATTGCCCAGGCTGGTCTCAAATTCCTGGCCTCAAGTGATCCTCCTGCCTCAGCCTCCCAATCTGCTGGAATTACAGGCATGAGCCATCATGTCTGGCCTGAAAATACTTTTCTAAAAAGTTCCAGCCAGGCACGGTGGCTCACACCTATAATCCCAACACTTTGGGAGGCCAAGGTGGGCAGATCACATGAGACCAACATAATGAAAACCCGTCTCAACTAAAAATACATAATTTAGCTGGGTGTGGTGCACATTTGTACTCCCAGCCACTTGGAAGAGGCAGGAGAATCGCTTAGGAGATGGAGGTTTCAGTGAGCCTAGCTGGAGCCACTGTACTCCAGCCAGGGCAACAGAGCAAGGCTCTGTCTCAAAAAAAGAACAAGAAGGCAGGGTGTGGTGGTTTATGCCTGTAATCTCAGCACTTTGGGAGGCCGAGGTGGGCAGATTACCTGAGGCCAGGAGTTTGAGACCAGCCTGACCAACATGGAGAAACCCCGTCTCTACTAAAAATACAAAAAAATTAGCTGGGCATGGTGGCGCATGCCTATAATCTCAGCTATTCAGGAGGCTGAGGTAGGAGAATCACTTGAACCCAGGAGAGGCTGCGGTGAGCCAAGATCTCGCATTGCACTCCAGCCTAGGCAACAAGAGTAAAACTCCATCTCAAAAAAAAAAAAAAAGGAAAAGAAAAATATATCATTCTCAGACAAAACTTGGTCAGCCTATGGTCCAGCAGTTAAGAGAGTATTGAATAAATACCTGAATAACTTCATCAAATGAAAAGTCAGTCTGGCCTAACAGTCAATCCTACAGTGACATCAAGAGACCTGACTTCCCTAAACATTCACTTCAGAGATCATGGAGACCGCACATACCCTGGTGGAATGTGCTGACAATGGTATCACTGGGACCCAGACTCTGTTCTCCAGGTGCCAGATTCTGACTATACATATTATCCTCATAACTCTTTGCCTGCCCTTGTACTAGCAAAATGAACCTCTACTGGTCAAGTTGCCAGCCTGTCTCTTCACATGTTCAACTCTGACAAATGCAACCCAATTCAGTGCTCTAAATCCCAGTTACCACTGGCAACTCCAATCACCTTGCATCCACAAAGCACATTTTTCAAGGTTTGTTGGTGTTCATTTAATTTCTAGGCTATTCACAAATATTCAGGCTATCTCATCAATTATATTAGGAACTCTTAGACGGCAAGTACCTGCGTACTTCCCAGGCAGAGTGACAGATGAACTGTGACTGTTTTAGAAAACAATGATGGAAATTCAGGGGGTGAAAAAATCAAACCACCTTTTTTATCCAGTTTTCTTTACACTTACAATTTCTTCCCAACATAGTGATTAAACTTGAAGGGAGAGGATACCTAGGCAGTAAATAAATGCTGAAAATATACTATCAAGCTCTAATATTACAAACATTCCCTTCCCCCGCACTTAGTCATGAGTAAAAACAACTACCACTCAAATGCCTTACCATCCTTGTTAACAGCAGTGACTTTGGCCGGGTAAAAACGACAATCAGACCAGCAAGCAAGGACCTGCTCATTTATTTGAAATTCCTAAAAAACATAAAAAAAAAAAAAAAAAGATCCTGTTACCAACCTAGTTTCATAAGACACACACTGTACCAGATCTCATAAAAAAGGCTGGGATTGATAAGAGAGTGAGAAGGGCAAGTAGCTATTGGGATGGAGGAAGATGTTTCTCTTGTTTCAACACTAGGAGTTGCTATAGTTTCAGTGTCATTTGTCCTCGCCGAAAGTTGACGTGTTCAGTGCAGCAGTGTTAGAGATGGGGCCTATGAGAGGTATTCGGGCCATGGTAGCAGATCCTTCATGAATAGATTAATGTTGTCTTACATGAGTGACTCTTCGCTCTCCTGGAAATGGATTCACTCTCAAGAAAGCAAGTTGTTATAAAGCAAACCTCCTCCTCCTGTTTGGTTCCTTTCTTCACACTTGTCTCCCTCTTTGACCTTCCATCATGTATGACGCAGCGTGAAAGCTGATGCCAGAAGCCAGCCAGTACCATGCCCTTGAACTTCCCAGCCTGCAGAATTATGAGCTAAACAAACTCTTTTCTTTATAAATTACCCAGTCTCAGATATTTTATTATAGCAACACAAAAAAGACTAAGACAGGAGTCAAAACAAAAGAGGTGGGACACAAGACCTCAACAGGCCCAAGAGGTCTGGGCAGGCACAGCACAGCACTGATGATAATTCCACTCTAATCAACACACACTCTGAAAATGAGTCTAAGAGGCCAGGACTACTAGAATACACATCCAGTATAAGAATTAGAAGATATGAGGCAGGGAAGCAGCATTTAATGCCACTTAATGCCACCTACACTTCTTTCTTTTTCTTGATCTCAGCTCACTGTAACCTCTGCCTCCAGGGTTCAAGTGATTTTCCTGCCTCAGCCTCCTGAGTAGCTAAGATAACAGTCACCTGCCACCACACCCAGCTAATTTTTGTAATTTTAGTTGAGACAGAGTTTCACCATGTTGGTCAGGCTGGTCTCGAACTCCTGACCTCGTAATCCCCCCACTTTGGTCTCCCAAAGTGCTGGGATTACAGGTGTGAGCCACCAAGCCTGCCCCACCTACACTTTTGAAGGGTCTTTTGCAAAGGAAAGCAACCATTCACCTTTGATATTTTATACTATTTTCCCAACAGTTTGCACTGATAAATTTTATACAATGGGCCAGGTGCAGTGGCTCACACCTGTAATCTCAGCACTTTGGGAGGCCAAGGCGGGTGGATTACCTGAGGTCAGGAGTTCGAGACAAGCCTGGCCAAAAGGGTGAAACACTGCCTCTATTAAAAATACAAAAATTAGCTGGGCATGGTAGCAGGCGTCTGTAATCCCAGCTTCTCAGGAGGCTGAGGCAGGAGAATCACTTGAACCTGGGAAGTGGAGGTAGCAGTGTGCCAAGATTGCGCCACTGCACTCTAGACTGGGTGACACAGTGAGATTCCATCTCAAAACAACAATAACAATAACAACAAAAATTTGTAGAACAAACACTAAAAATTCCTATGGAACAATACGAAATAATCCTTAATTGGGAAAAAGAAAAAAAAGGCCAGCAACAGTTTAAGTTCCCTAATCAGGGTTAAAATAAAAAACAGGCAGGGTGCAGTGGCTCATGCTTATAATTCCAGCACTTTGGGAGGCCAAGGAAGGTGGATCACCTGAGGTCAGGAGTTTAAGACAAGCCTGGCCAACACGGTGAAATCCCGTCTCTACCAAAATTACAAAAATTAGCCAGGCGTGGTTCTATGTGCCTGTAGTCCTAGCTACTCAGAAGGCTGAAGCTCACGAATCACTTGAACCTGGAAAACAGAGGATGCAGTCAGCCAAAATCAGACCAGGGCACTCCAGCCTGGGCGACAGAGTGAGACTGTCTCAAAAAAAAAAAAAAGAAAGATAAAAGAAAACAGAAGGCAGGGCTGAGTTAGTTCCAAAAGAGGGAGGACAATTATGGATGTCTCAATGCCTGTTTAAAAACCTTAAAACTGGCCAGGCACAAGGGTGCTCACCTATAATCCCAGCACTTTGGGAGTTAGGAAGGATCTTCCTTCTTTGGCAAAAAGACTCCTTAAGGCCAGGAGTTCGGGACCAGCTGGGCAACATAATAAGACCCTGCCTCTACAAAAAAATTTGAAAACTAGCCAGGCTCTGCAGGAATTCAATGTGGATGTCCAAAAAAAAAAAAAAAAAAAGAAAGAAAATAAAAACTAGCCAGGCACAGTGGCACATGCCTATAGTCCTGGCTACTCAGGAGGCTGAGGAAGGAGGACTGCTTGATCCCAGGTGGTCAAGCCTGTAATCCCAGCACTTTGGGAGGCCGAGGCGGGTGGATCATGAGGTCAAGAGATCGAGACCATCCTGGTCAACATGGTGAAACCCCCGTCTCTACTAAAAATACAAAAAATTAGCTGGGCATGGTGGCGCGTGCCTGTAATCCCAGCTACTCGGGAGGCTGAGGCAGGAGAATTGCCTGAACCCAGGAGGCGGAGGTTGCAGTGAGCCGAGATCGCGCCGTTGCACTCCAGCCTGGGTAACAAGAGCGAAACTCTGTCTTAAAAAAAAAAAAACTTTAAAGCTAATACTTCATACTGCGTTTTGAAGTCAGTAAAAGCTCCAGGCATAGAGATAAAATTTAGAAAAATGGAATACAGTTCAATCAATTTCAAGTTCTTTGAGGGCTTATGAAAGACTCTGCAGGCCAAGCTTAATCCTTGAGAGACCAAGGCAGGAGGATCGCTTGAGCCCAGGAGTTCAAAAACAGCCTATGCAACAATGCAAGACCCTGTCTCTACAAAGAAAATTTAAAAATCAGCCAGGTGTGGTGGGCCTGTGATCCCAGCTACTCAGGAGGCTGAGGTGGAAGGATCTCTGGAGCCTGGGAGGTTGAGGCTGCAGTAGGCCATGATTGTACCACTGCATTCCACTATGGGCAACAGAGCAAGACCTTGTCTCAAAAGAAATAGAAAGACCTTGCATATGAGACTAGTACAATGCTCTACATGGATGATCACTTTTTTTTTTTCTTTTTTAAAGACAGTCTCACTTGGGCTGGAGTGCAGTGGTGCAAACTTGGTTCACTGCAACCTCCGCCTCCTGCGTTCAAGTGATTCTCCTGCTTCAGCCTCCTGAGTAGCTGGGATTATAGGTGCCCACCACTATACCCAGCTAATCTGTTTATATTTTTAGTAGAGATGGGGCTTTACCATGTTGGCCAGGCTGGTCTCAAACTCCTGACCTTGTTATTTGCCTGCCGCAGCTTCCCAAAGTGCTGGGATTACAAGTGTGAGCCACCACACCTGGACGGAATGATCACTTAACAAAAGATCAGACAGCATATCAGATTAATAAATGATCCAGATGTCTAGAATATACAGTTGATCTAGAAATCATTCATTAATTTATTCAACAGATATTTACTGAAGATCTACTATGTGCCAGGCGGTGTTCTAGAAGTTAGGGATACAGTGCTGTTAAAGAGAAATAAAGTCCCCATTCATCATCAGTATAGCCTCAACCAAGTTAGTTTATGAGCTATCATTTCTTTTTTGTTTTTCCCCCACCCAAATCTCATTTTGCATATGAGCTGTCATTTTAATCGCATCATCCAAACATGAAAACTGGGATTCTGGCTAAGCGCGGTGGCTCATGCCTATAATCCCAACACTTTGGGAGGCCAAGGCAGGCAGATCGCTTGAAGTCAGGAGTTCAAGACCAGTCTGGCCAACATGGCGAAACTCTGTCTCTACTAAAAATACAAAAATTAGCTATGGTGGGCACCTGTAATCCCAGCTACTTGAGAGGCTGAGGTACAAGACTCGCTTGAACCTGAGAGGTGGAGGCTGCAGTGAGCAGAGATTGCCCCACTGTACTGCAGCCTGGGTAACACAGCAAGACTCTGTGTCAAAAAGAAAAAAAATAGAAGGATTCTTCAAGAGCCCCAAGTGTCATAGGGATCTCAGGGCTACAACTATAGGCCTAAATAAGAACTGGTCCCTGCTGCTACTGAATATCAAAGGCTGAAAACAAACAGCCCAATAGCTGACCTTGAGTACTACAGAACTTCCCAGATTTGTTACTCACAGAAGATCCATCCTCTTCATGCAAGCCCTCTTTCCTCAGCTGTATTTTCTCTAAAGGGCGTAAATAAGGACTGTCCCAGCAGAACCACTCGTCATAACGATGGTTCCAACGCTTGAAATGGATGAGAACTTTTCCTTCCTCGTAGTCAATGTCTTCTATGTGAGCTGGATACCTGAGTCAGAAAAAAAAAATTGACATTCCTTTAATACCCACCCAAAATATCCAAATATCCATAATGGTACATTTCTAAACCTTTTACCAAAGGAGAAGATTACCAGGCCTACCATTAAGAGACTCTGTGTAATTGGGTCAAATCACAAATTATGGAGGGTAACAGACTTGAGGTCCAAATCCCAACCTGCATATTCCTTAGTTTATGAACTATTAAATTAAACGTTCAGAGTCTGAGTTCCCTCATGTAAAGTGGAAGACGCACACTGGGTTGTAGTGTGGATTTTTTTTTTTTTTTGAGACGGAGTTTCGCTCTTGTTACCCAGGCTGGAGTGCAATGGCGCGATCTCAGCTCACCGCAACCTCCGTCTCCCGGGTTCAGGCAGTTCTCCTGCCTCAGCCTCCTGAGTAGCTGGGACTACAGGCTGCGGTGTGGATTAAACAAGATGACATATATACAGGACTTGAGCGCACAAGAGGCAGGAAGAAAACATTTAACAACTAGATTATATTTCACATGTGCCAATAAAGCAGAATGACCATGCAACTCAGACTGTATCACAGTCTCAATCTGAAGCATTTTGTAAGCTATATAATGGGATACTACTCAGTTATTAAAAAGAACAAGATTATTTTATCTGTCAAGATATGGAAAGCTCTCCCAAGATATACAGTCATATGATGCAGAACACTGTATATGCTAAGGTATTGTCTTGTTTTGTTTGTTTGTTTGTTTATTGAGACAGCATCTCAGTCTGTCACCCAGGCAGAAGTTCAGTGGTGTGATCCCGGCTCACTGCAACCTCCCTCTTCCTGGCTCAAGTGATCCTCCCACCTCAGCCTCCCAAGTACTTGAGACTACAGGCACACACAACCATACCCAGCTAATTTTCATATTTTCTGTAGAGACAGAGTTTCACTATGTTTCCCAGGCTAGTCTCAAACTCCTGGGCTCAAGCTAGCTACCAACCTCAGCTTTCCAAAATGCTGGAATTACAGCATGAGTCACCACATCTGGCTTATTTTTTAAAGAGGAGAAAAAAGGATATGTATTCACATACGCATATACATAAAGTATCTAGAAGAATGCACAAGAAACTAACAATGATTACCTGTGGAAAAGTGGGGTTAGCTCAGCAGATGGTCTCTTTCAACCTCCATTCAACCTTCTTTCTAGATTGAGAGTTGGGAAAATCAACAACTACATTTCCCTGACTTCCTTACAATTGGTAGCCGAGGTCATGAAGACCCTTGGGTTAGTGGCCAGATCCAGTTCAAGGCCTATCAAGTTTCCACATAGACGTAAATCATCGGAGTATCCTGTTGAAATGAAAGTTCTACTTCAGTATGCCAAGCTAGGGCCTAAGAGCTCTCACATGCTCCCAGATGCCGCTGCTGCCACTGGTTTGCAGTAGCTAGAGCCTAATGTCTAATCATCAGTTTCATGTGTGTCAAGCAGCAGTAGTGCAGACAGCAGTGCCAGTAGTGACTTCCTGACCTCTAGACCATAGCTGTAATTATGGGCCTTTCAAAATGATATCCTAAGGGCAGCCTCCTTGAGTCCCACTTTTCTAACCCTTCCAACAACTTTATTAAGTACCCAATTTCCTATGTTAAATCCTTTTATGGTTAAAATACTCAGACTGGTTTCTGTTTCCACCATTTACCCCAACATAAGAGTGGTATCTGGATGATGGGGCAGGGGATGGGGTGGTAGCAGCAAAAATAGGAGGAAGACATTTGCCATATACCTTATAATACTTTCTTATTTCAACCATATAAAGGTATTACTCATTCCAAAAAATAAAGGGTTAAAAATAAAGAAAAATCTTGTATGCAGTTGTTCTCTGAAAACACTTATATTAATCAAATAGCTATTCTAGATTGAGAAAGTTTACATTCTATCTATATTTTCTCCCTGCAACCTGGTTTGTACTATTTCCTTCTTTCTCATATCCAGCACCTAGTACAGTGCTGTCCTAATAAACACATGCTACCTGAATGAACAGTCCTGCTTTCTTGTGTCTGTATACTGTGTACTTTTTTTAACCCTACACTACATCCTCTAAGGCAGTTTGCTTGATGTCAACTTATCACAGTACCTTGTACATACTAGGTAATCAATAAATGTTTAGCAAATGAATTCCACTCTTCTTATTCTTCCCAAAGTTCATGTATTCTGTCAGTTTATTTAATTCCAACATTCTCAGACTCCAGAAACCTATTCCAATTTCACTCCTCAAGTTCAGGCCCTCGTCCCTTAATGTGTGTATTCCTCACAGAGGGCTGGAAGTATATGTTTTCCATAATTCCCAATGCTACTATACATGCATTAATTGCTCAAACATATTAACAGATGACATAAAAAGCCCTGAAACGAGTCTTCCTACTCAAATCCAACTGGCAGTTGCTATAAATACAAGACATCTTGACAGCAGACTGGCTAATTGTCTGATCTGACAAATTAAATACTTTGAAGGAGACAAGAGAGTATTCCCCAAATCCACTCCTCTCTGTAAAATGGGAAGAAGGACATGAATATGGCAATTATATATCTCTTGCCCTCTCATTCATTCAGCTTACCTGAGGCTAGTAAGCCTGTCTAAAATAGTACAATCTGTCCTAACATATTCCTATTCAAACCACTTTCTTTAATGGTTTACTATGTCTAGCAACAATTTTCTCACACAGGGTTCTTGGACTAAGGCAGGAAATTTTCTTCACACAGAAATCTCTTTTTTTTTGTTGTTTTCTTGAGACAGGGTCTCGCTCTGTTGCCCAGGCTGGAGTGCAGTGGCACAATCATGGCACACTACAGCTTTGATCTCTTGAGCTCAAGTGATTCTCCACCTCAGCCACCAGAGTAGCTGAGACTTCAGGCTCACACAACATACCCAGCTAATTTTTTGTTATTTTTTTGTAGAGGTGAAGTCTCACTGTGCTGCCCAAGGTCTTGAACTTCTCGGCTCAAGTATCCTCCTGCCTCAGCCTCCGAAAGTGCTGGGATTACAGGCATGAGCCACCATACCCCGCTTGAAATCACATTGTTTCTAAATTTTGGTATTTAAATCTACCTTTTAAATTAAAACGATAACAAGTGTTTGTTTTTAATACCATTCCTAATATTATACAGCCTTCAAAAAGAATAAATCAGCTCTATGTACAGACATTAAAAGATCTCTAAGAAATGTGGGGGGTAGGATGGGCACGGTGGCTCACACCTGTAATCTCAGCACTTTGGGAGGCCGAGGCGGGTAGATCACGAGGTCAAGAGATCGAGACCATCTTGGCCAACATAGTAAAACCCCGTCTCTACTAAAAATTAAAAAAAAAAATTAGCTGGGCATAGTGGTGCTTGCCTGTAGTCCCAGCTACTTGGGAGGCTGAGGCAGAAGAATCACTTGAACCCGGGAGGCAGAGGTTGCAGTGAGCAAAGATCACACCACTGCACTCCAGCCTGGCACTGGTGACAGAGCAAGACTCTGTCTCAAAAAAAAAAAAAAGAAAGAAAGAAATGTGGGGAGTAAACACAAGATGTCAAACAGTATTTGAACGCATTTATGTTGGGGAGGGAGAGAGCCAATACAGTCATACTGTTTTTAAATGTGTGGGCTATCTCAGGAAGGCTGATCAAGTAACCAGGTTTGCCTCCTGGGAGGGGAATTGAATAGTTTTAAGGAACTGGAAAGGAAGTATGAGACTTATTTTATTCACCGTATATCTTTTGGACATTTTGAATGCTGTACCACGAGCACGTATTAACTATAAAAAGTACATAACTATGTATTTATTTTAAATGTCCTTGTTTGGCAAAATTAAAAGTTGGCAGCCTCAGGGCAAACCTTAAATTCTTTTGAATATGTATTGGTCAGAAGTCAGGATTCATAGAATCAAGTGTGAACTCCTAGGCCAGCAACTCCATCGCTCTGAAGGGTCTTTAGGTCCTCAGCTAATGTAAAGCTTCTCCCTATGCTGAGTTGTGGACAAAGAAAATTAAAAAAAGAAAAAGCTTCTCCCTCATTCAGAAAAACTTTACTGGGCACACGAATCCCACTCTCTGCAGACCTAAATAAACCCCTCCAAGAGGCTCAACAGTAGCCAAGGGACAAAATTTTCAAAAGAGAAACTTGTCCTCCTCACTTCCCCAAAGTGTGACAAAGATGCCAAGTTACTTATGGTGGTGGGGACCCAATCACACTTCAGAGAAGAGGGAGGCTGCAAAAGCATCCTAGACATCAACCTAGTAAGACTTAGTAGATCACAAATGCTACCTGCCTTAGGGACAACTTAGCTTGATCAGTCAACAAGAATTTATTAAGTGCTTTTTATCCGACCAGTCAATTCTAGAGACAATTGTAGAGACAGGGTTTTGCCATGTTGCTCAGGCTGATCTCAAATTCCTGGGCTCAAGAGATCCACTGGCCTTGGCCTCCAAAAGTGCTAGGATTACAGGCTTGAGCCACTGCACCTAGCCAAAAAATAAATACTTTTAAATTAAAAGGTTTTTTTTTTCCATTTCTATTATCAAATCAGTGGTATTGCATAAATTAAAGGTTTTTAAAAATTGTTTTTAAGATATCAACTGATAGTTTCATGAATATTATGTTTATGTGCTGCTATGGTAGTTTGATGAATATTATGTTTATGTGCTGCTATGGCACACCCACAAAATGGCACATTACACAGCCATAAGAAAGAATGAAGACACACTATATGAACTGAAATGAAAAGATTTCCATGACACATTAAGTTTTTCAAAGACAAGCTACAGAATAGTACATATTTTATGATACCTTTTGTGTTATAAAAGAGGAAAATAAGAATATTAGCTGGGGCATGGTGGCTCATGTCTGTAATCCCAGCACCTTGGGAGGTCAAGATGAGAAGAATCACTTGAAGCCAGGAGATTGAGACCAGCCTGAGCAACAGAGCAAGACCTCATCTCTTAAAAAAAAAAAAAAAAGTTAAAAAAAAATTATCTAAGAGTAGTGGTGTGCACCT